TGCAGTAAGTATATGTATATAAATGTGACCACTGTCTGTGCCGAAAATCATTGCCTAGACATAATGGAAATTCATGTGACAACATGATTTTTTTAACTTCTGGCTTTAAATAGTATTTAAATTTTAGGTTCGAGTGCTCAAAACCATCTACAAGCTCGGGTTCTAATTTTGCAAAGAATGCAAAAAGGTTGCACACGACGGGATTCGAACGGTGACCTCCAGCTCATCATGCAATTACCTAACACTTTGCCAGTCACCACTATTGAATCCTTCTATAGCCCGTAGACAAGGCCTGACATACTGAAGGGCGTTGTAACCTCGGAGGAAAAAACCCTCCTAAGTCTCTCCACGGAACCGTTCTGCGCTAGAAGCGACAAATTTGGAATTAGTATGTCAAGCGCTTTGCGGTGATATATGCCTCATTTAGCATGGCCGAGCTGACTTGGGCCTTTCCTGTGAGAAAAGAAAAATGAAAAATGTAGGTACTTCAATGAAGCAGTAAAAACAAATGAAAGCAACGATTAGATATGATATCGATTTTTGTATTTTGGCTTGAAGAGTAAAAACAATGCTCGAACGAAACCAGATTTTCTGGAGTCTTTGTTCGTCGGGGCATAACGCAGGATGAGCATAGGAAAAATCAAAGTTAGAGAAATTGCGAGAGAATAAACCAGATGAAGAATGGAGAAAGGTCAGCTTTCCGCTGGAACAGTTCAAGTTAGTACTTTAGGGCCGGACGAGATTTATCGCCTCGTGATCTTCCCAACAAGACAACTGTTACAAATCCATTGCATGCCGCTCATCTTGCATTTCGGTTGTGATAGGAGTCGCAATTAGTCGTCGGAAAACTATCACAACTGAAATGCAAGATGATCAGCATGCAATAAACTGGTAACAGTTGTCTTGTTAGCAGAATCACAAGGCGAGAAATTGCTTAATGTATGCCCTGCACTTCTGACAGATATTTTTTATTAGAGTTAGACAAGTTGCCGCAAAATTCAATTTGTCAAAATGGTGGAGTATGCATTTTTTGGTTAATGCGGAGCTTCTAGCTCTGAAACTCACAGGCAGCGCAGATCCGGACCTATGGATAACTTACGTGGAAAGTACTTTTGGGGGCTTTTGGGGGTAACTAAGGCACTACTCAAGCGGCAGCGCAGGTAGTGGTCTAAATGAGATATTCCCCTCGAAAGTGGACTCCCGCAGTCGTATTCGCATGGATTCGTGGCAATTTCGCGCCAGGACACACGCTTTGCGCCATGAATCCATGCGAAGGTCCAGTTTTTTGCGGAGTCCAGTTTCGAGGGGAATCAGCCATTAGAGCACTACCTGAGCTGTTGGTCGAGCAGTGGCTTAACTAGGGCCCCAAAATCACTATCCGTGTGGGATATCCATGTGTCCAGACTTGCCTGGACGCTGCCTTTAATATTTTGAAGCTCATTATATATGCCACGGTCAAAGTAAGCGTTTCATGTGTCGATATCAATTCGTAAAGCAAACTCTTGAATGCGAACTAAGTCGGTTCATAAGGCTGCGAATAGTCAATAATCAATACTTATAGTAACGGGTATGTAGTTTTTACATTCTGTGTGTGTACATATTAGGTTAAACCAAAATTCTGTCGCTTTGAATTTTGAAAATTAGTAATACTTCTTATGTGAACTATTTGCTTCTAAAAATTCTCTTTAAGAGGAGAAATCTACCTTTCTAACAGCATCTTTGAGACTCTCTGACTACAAAAGGCTCCAAAGATAAAAATTAGAGGAGGCCGGGGTCACCAAACTCCCGATTTTCGAAAATAAATGGCCAAAAATCTGAAACGCTGCAGAAAAAAAACCGAGCGCTTGTTTCTTATAGGTTTTGTAAGCTGCTCTTTCTAATATTGCTAAGTTTGATCGAGCTTCTCTGTGAAAAGTTACGATTTTCGAGAGAATGCAAAAAAATGCAAAACAAATTATTTTTGCCGGTTCTGCCGTTTTGAACACCCAAATATCAGATTCTTGTCTAAAAAGGTTTTGCAAATTCTCAAATTTGTCAAGTATATTCTATACCATAAGATAACACTTTCCGTAATTTTTTTTGGAAACTGAAATAAGAATAGGCCAAAAACTCGAAAATATCGCCGTTTTCGGAATTTTTGAGTTAAATTTGATATTTCTCGGCAACTACCACCTTGAAAAAGCTGGAAATTTATTACCCCAAAATCCCGCCAATAAGTCCGGCCTTATCTGCATCTTTTGACACGGAAAATTGATAAAAAATCGCCCTCTGCGCTGCCAGAAGTCTAGCAGATGAATTCTCCCATCAGACCGCAGCAGATCTGCTAGACTTCTGGCAGCGCAGAGGGCGATTTTTGTATCAATTTTTTGTGTCAAAAAATAGATTGGGCCGGACTTATTGGCGGGATTTTAGGGTATTATACTTCCGAGGACTTGTAGTATGGAGTTATCTGTGTCGGAGCAATCGAGTTTTAATTGTGCTAAAATATGCCAAGTTTTATTATCTCATCTTCTATCCATGAAAAAATACTACAAAACTGATGCGATAAAAGATTTTTGTAAGAAAATCAAAGGTCTGTAGGATTTTTCTGAACAGAGATCCAATTGAGCATTTGGGATTTAGACATTTTCCTTATTTTCCATATAGCAGACTTTGTAAGATTATTCGAATATTATTTTATAGGGCTTGCTTTGTAATCGAATGATGTGTTCCTTAAAATTAACTATATGACTTTTCTGCCCTCAAGAATAAGTAGCATATATCATATGTATCATCCCAATATTTTTTTCGCACTTAGGGCCGCATGCACTAACATGGCCGCGGGGAGGGGATCGCAGCTCAAAAGAAAGCTTCTTATTTCAAAACTCCAGATACTTGGATTTCACGATTCATACCTTCGATACATAGAGCCATGTACTCTGGTAACCTTCACTTTGAGCGTCATGATAGAACACAACCTTCACCTCGAGAGAAGTATCGAAGTCATCCGGGGCGAAAATGTCATGACATAATTAATGGCATAACCATATAGGGATGAATGTGAATGAGACAAATATAGCAGTAGCAAGTGACATCCAAAGGAACCTCAAAAAACCAAAGGATTGCGTTTTTATGGCCTTTTTTGCTGAAAAGAAGGTTTTTATTCAAAAATTCAATCGAAAACTAGGACAAAACTTCTCAATTGACCTTTTTCTAGACTGTGTTTGAGCGCTGGAAGTTCATGAAAGCCGCTGGAGCCTTCAATAAAAACGAGAAACTGTGCTCAAATCTTGCGCAGAGAGTCGCCACATAAATGCTGATCTATCTCGTTACGGAGTGATTTTCAAGATCCGCGACATTGTCAGTGCTCCTGGCCGTCTCATGAGGATCACATCACAACGATATATAATGTTATAGGGTTTCGTTATGACCCCGCGGAGATCAATGACCAGAGCCAAATGCCCCGCCGGCTCTGGTCTGTCTCCGCTGCTCGTCTGCGTCTCCGCGCATTGCGCGCTACCTCGCTGCCTCAAATGCGGGGCGCGGGGCATTTGGCTCTGGTACCCTTTTCTTCATTGTTCGGAGCTCAGTTACGACAATCTATATATCATATTGAAGCTCTTGATCTCTATTTTCACGCTGACAACGTCGCAGGACTCCTTTTTATGATTTAAACAAGAAATCTCGAAAGAACGCCGTTCTCGAAAACCTCTTGTTTTTTCTTCACTTCAACTCTTTTCAATCGGCTTTTTTATGTAGTCGATAGGTCTTGTTTCTCTCTATGATGTAGACAACGTCGCCGAGCTTACTTCTTTGCTTATGCCGGTTTTTTTTCTAAAAATTGCTCAAAAAATGTTTTAAATTTGGTGATGTACTAACCTCTGCTTTATATGAATTTGTCAAGTTTCCTGGTTTAATATCTCTAAATTTTCCCCTATTTTTCTGAAACAACCTTCACTTTCTACAGGGGGCAGGAGCTCAAACAAATATCACTTTCTAGCCTCTGTCTCTTGACTATCGAAGGTATGTCCCTGATGATCCCCGGCGCTTTTCTTTGAAGTCATTTTTCTTTCTCCGAAGTCAACGAAAAACTTCCAAAGTTGTGCAGATTATCTAACCCAACAATGCTAAGCATGTTGCTGATAAGAACAAATGATGTTTTGAAGTCATGAAATTTTCGATGATCCACAGGTCGAAATTTGGGGTATACCGAAAACTCGATTTTTCAAAAATTCATTTATTCTCATCAGCAACATGCTTAGCACTGTTGTGTTAGATGTTCAGTATAACTTTGGAAGGTTTTCGTTAACTGCGGAGAAAGAAAAATGACTTTGAAGAATAGATGTTCGTCCCCCAGGGATCATCAGGGGATCCTACAAAAAGCTGGGAAATGCGGCTTGTACAGCTTCTCGCTTCTGCTCAATACGTTCATAGTGAAGGGTGGTGGGAGTACTTACGGACAGGTAGACAGCGTGAAATCCAGATATCCGGAGCTTCAGGATATGAAGCTTTCTTCTGAAGCTTCCATCCCCTCCCCAGCGGAAATGTTAGTGCATGCGGCCCTTAATGTTTGACGGGGGGAATCAGGGGGGAAGAGAGGAGGGGGGGGGGGGGGCTGAGACAGCAATGCATAACGAATATTATTTGCCACTCATCTGATCCGTTTTCAATATCTGAATTGCTCTTAACTGAAACTAGTTGTTATTTTGGTTCTATATAGCTCTTTAGTCATAAATCTCAATTGTCTCTTTCGATTACATAACGTCAAATACGGTGGATGCCTGATTGTTTCTAAGTTCAAATGTTTTTTACTTTACGATTTTGGTGCAGTAATATGCTGTCCAGAATTTGTATCAGGATTTGTAGCATCTAAAAATTTTCCATAGAAAAAGGTAAAGGTAACTTACATCTCGAAAATTTTCTGTTAGTATAAGCTTTCGCATTTATCTTCAGTGCGCCAGAGTGCCTCAAAAACATTTTCTGGACACATTCCTGTCAGAAAATTGAAAAAATTAAGCTTATGCTAGAGTTGATTTATTCGACAGCAATTCAAAGAAAGCAACTTTCACATTTATTTTGCTTTTCGAAACCACAGTCGGTCTACCATCGAGCATCTATACGTCCTTGAGGTATACAATGCAAAAAGCATATATTCCGCTGGTCCCAGTTCATTTTTTCCGTTTTACACACAGAACACTAAAGTGTCATACACTTAAAACGATAGTAGAGGCAAAAAGGAGTAAAGATACATACGGATGGCCAGGCTGTCGAAAAAACAAACAGAACGGCAAGAATGAGTCCCTTCAGCGGCCACATTTTTTGGTGGATAACGATAAAACGAAAACACTTATATATATATATAATACTCGGTTTAGCGTTTTTAACACCGCTCTAATATGATACCAAGAATTATGGAATCGGGATCAAGCAGATCGACATCAACGCATACATAACATTTGCGCTTTTTTTATGATCGCACTAAAATGATGAAAATCATAGAAATTGGAATAAATATTGCCTACATATATTCTAAACATTAGGCGAAGCGAAATGGGAAAAGTTGTTTCTGCTAAAAAAATAATTATCTTTATCGAATTACCAAATATCCTCATTTTTTGCTGTTTCTTGTCCTTCACTTATTAGCATTATAAATTTGCCAAACTCCACACAAATAAACTGCAAAGCTGGGCAGTTGAGATTTTGGAGAAACATAAAAATATTAGGTTGGAAACTAAGTTTTGCAACTGGTCCCATAACTTCCCTCTCACTCAGCATGGCGCACTCAAATTTTGCCACTGCGTTGGTTATTACGTAAGCTACGAGCGCAGTTGCTGTCCTACCAAATTCTGACGTCGCAGTGAGGGTTACGGTAGATGCATGGTATGAAGGGGAAAATTCAAAGTTTGACGGATTTGGCTGAAACTTGGCATAGGGGGGTTATCCGACATGCTGATCACGAAAACGATAGTGAAATTGCGTGATAAAGGTTTTTTGTAGAATTACTGTAGGTATACGACATACGGTCCCATCGTAAAAAAGGAACGAGACGTTGATTCAGCTAATAAATATGATATTCGTGTTTAGCAGGTCAAAAAACCTCAATATGTAAAAGCTCGGAGAATTTTGTGGTTCCGACTCCTTACTCATTGACGACTGTCTCCAGCAGCCTTGCGTACAGGAACGCTTTCGAGATCATGAGGGCGCCAAATCTCGACTTGCCGCTAAATTTTATTTCTTTTTTGCTGAAGCGAATAAGTCAACCTCTAGCAACAACTAGCAGACGAATCCGAATTACTGCGCATGGTCTAGGCTGCTAAAGGCTTCATTTTAGCTTGAAACACCAAAAATTCTCGAATTTCACTAGTTTTCGAAAAATGCCTGAAACTTTCCTATTTCGTGTTCAAAATTCAAACAATTTGTACACACTTGTAGCTCACATTGCCTTCTACATAATGCCAAAGTTTGAGTGCGCCATATCCAAAGAGAGTGAAGTTATGAAACCAGTTGCAAAACTTAGTTTCCAGCCTAATAAAACAACCTAATGACAAGGAACTAATCTATTAGGTAATAGAATAAAAATGAAATTAAAAAATACTCCGTTTCGTTCCTACCCTTAGATAAGTTGTCTTCATTTATTGCTTTCTTGCATTTTAGAAAACAGCGTTCACCCAAATCTTCCTTGTCCACATTTTTGTCATTGTGAGGCTTTTCTGTGGCCCTGACTACAAATACGAAGTACAAAATGTGCCCCTCCTCTTCACCAAAACCCATTATTCGCGAGCCCTACGCTAAAGGCACAATGACTTTCAGTTCTTGGGTGGGCGTGAACTTTAGAGGGCGGGCGTGGTTTGATAGCGCGTTCGCGAGTTCCTGGTCCATTTATTCCCTTCAAAGGCCACATCAGAGGACCGGACCAATGCAGATGTCCTACTCCTAGAGCCTTTTTATGGACTTACAAATCGGGGGAACTTACGCGATGCAGATCTCTGTAAAAATTTTCGTGATTTTATGGAATCGTCTATCAAAATTCACACTTGTTTCATAGTTGCTGTTTGTGCGGATCACAGCGATATAAGCTCCTGCAAGACGAAGGCGGTTGGTTCGAGGCGCGACGTGGCTGTGACGCGGCTGTGACGCTGCTGTGACGCAGCCATGTCGCAACCGCGTTGCACATCGAACCAACCGCCTTCGTCTTGCAGGAGCTTATACAGTAAACGCTTTGTTATTGGACAACATCTTACTATAATATCTTTTGGTAACTGCCAAAGCGATGCGACGAGGGTACTCTCCTCCCCCATATGCTTTACCGTTGTGCTATGTGTTCTCTTACAGTGTTAAGAGCAGATTCGCGACAACGAGGGCAGTCCAGATTATGCGGCGACGAAATATAACTGCGATACATGAACTAACACGGATGTGCTGAGAAACGCCGAGAGAGTACTGGGGAGCGCATGCACTCTAGAAGGATCCACATAGTTTGCATAACAGCGACGTAGAGTTGACGGCGTTCCTAGTTAGTTTCCAGACTGTATGCACTTTAAGTGCAAATTATAGAGCTTCGCATGGAAAGTGCAAATATGGGCAACAGTCGTCAAAGATCACCTCCTCATTCATAAACAAGCAAAGAAGGGATCAAGTGCGTGTCATGTGCAGAGCCAAACAACAACGAAATTTTGATTCTAGACTATCGAATTAGTGCAAATGTCTGACCCCGTTGCTATCATAATTTGGAAAACTATCGCCCATTTTGCTTCCTATCCTGCCTAACTTCTTACAGTCATTAGTTTTCGAAAAGCACATTATGATTTTGAACAATATGAAGGTTAGGGTAAGATAATATAACCTATCAATTTTACGGGGAGTGTACTTTTTGAAAATACTGCTTTTGCCTCTGGTAGAAAAAACAGGGTGAGCTACGTCTCGTGTACATTTTTCCAAATTTCTAGGATTAAATGCTGAATCTCACAAAAACCTGTTAAATACTTAATTTTGGATGCTTTTACACTGTGTAAATATTGTTGTTGCCTCTGAAAACAAATGAGCAGAGGGAGCTCGGTCTGCTGGAAGGAAAGACCCAACATATCCACTCGAAAACACATTTCTTCCAACTAGATTTTAATGTGAAAATTCACAGAAACTTTGTTTTGTTTTGTTTCACAACACATGTCTTTGGCGGCCTCTACTTTGTGAAATCCCTACTTTTGCCAATAAAAACACAGCAGAGGGAGCTTGTCTTAATGGAAGAAAAGACCTAGTGTTCATGCGGCAGTACATTTTTGATATAATTCCCTAGGTGTCAGTGCTGAATGTCACAAGAAGGGCTTGAAATTCAGTTTGGCCGCTTTTATCTTTCGAAAAACGTACTTTTGCTTTAAAAAGCATAAGTCTCGAAGAAAGGAAAGCTTCAAGGACTTTATTCGGCAGCGCATTTAGGCTGAGGACTTTTCAGTTTCAATGCTAAATCATGCAGAAGCTCGCTTGAAATTCACTCTTGAATACCCAGAGGGCTCATGCGACAGGACATTTTTGCTAGGATTGTCCAAGAAAAAGCTTTGAGGAACTTTGGTCTCGCTTTAAGAAATGACCGTTTCTTGGCGAGACGTAATAAGGATAGTATAGGACTGTGCATGATCGCAAAGCTCGGTGTGTTAGCGGCCGTTTCACAGTTCCTGAGTGTCAGCCTGAGTTTCGGGTTGAATCAGCTGTTCTACATAGATGACTGCTGAGGTGGTCTTCATGTTTAGTAGCTGTGGTATCTGGATAGGGTAGTTGCAAAAAGAACAGCGTAGATGATTTAAGAGTTACCTGTGAAAAGTTTCCTTGAGAGCATAATCTTACTTCTACTACTACGTACTTACGTTGCGCCAAGCGTTGAGAAAATGGAAATGATCTTGAAATAAAACTTTGAAATGAGCCCGATCTTGCTTCTACTACTACTTGCATTGCGAAAAAGATCGGTGAGAAAATGGGAATTCGTTCTCTTGCTATTTTTAGTTGCGCAGGCAGTTATCAATGTATCTGCCCCAACCCACTTGCTAGCGACCCGTAGGGCAGCCTCTGCCGCAGGATTTTTGTTAAGAATTCCTTGTTTTCAAGGTTAATTATAAAAAAAATCCTTAAAATCCACTTCAAGCAAAAATTCTTGTGCTCTCAAAAGCAGAAAAGTAAAGGAGCTTTGCAAGAAGAACACCGTAGATGATTTGAGAGTTATCATTGTAAAAAGTTTGCTTGAGAGCATGATCTTACTCTTACGACTACATACTTACGTTTCGCCAAAAATCGTTGAGAAAATGGAAGTCCATTGCCTTGTCATTATAAGTTGCACGGAAATAGTTATCAATGTATCTGCCCTAACCCACTTACTAGCGACCCCTAGAGTCGCTACTGCCGCAGGACATTTTTCCGAACGATTCCTTGTTTTCAGGGCTAAGCTATAAAAAAATCCTTGAAATCCATTTTAACCGCGCCTACTTCGCGAAAATTATGCTTGTGCACCCAAAAGCAGAAAAGCGATGGGGGCTGGTCTCAAAAGAAGGATAGAGCCATGGGCTTCACAGCAGGGGGTGCCTTCATAGCAGCCCGTAGCCGCAGCTGGACGCTTTGTCATAGAAGCGCACAATCATCAAATTCTTGCTATTTCAAGCGCAAACGCCCACGCTTTCCATCTTCCACGCTTTTTCCTCCCTGTTGGTAATTCGATCTCATATATCATACTTGTGGCCATTGCTGTTAAAATCGTGTTGCCGTTGATTGGTTATCTTAATGGTGCTTAGTTTCCCTTCCGCAGTTGAACCATATTTCGCCAAAGTTTCTTTGCGGTGTGATCGTCTGACTTTGGATGCGTCCAGTTTTTGCAGTGTTCATTTTTTATGCATGGTTCTGCTTCAAGTATATCCTTGGCCGGTGCTTATTTTAAATAACTTTGTAATGTGTGAAAGTGGAACTGCAGATTAGCCGCAAAGGGAAGATGGAAAGCGTCAGCGTTTGCGCTTAAAACAGCAAGAATTTGATGATTTCGCGCTTCTATGACAAAAGCGGCCAGCGGCGGCTACGGGCTGCTGGCGGCTACTGCGGGCTGCTACGTGCTGCCAGCGGCTGTTACCGGCTGCCAGCGGTTGCTACGAGCTGCTAGCGGCAGCTGCCGGCGCGGTATGAAGGCACCTTAAGAAATGATTTCATGTATCGGGAGACATTATCAAAATGTAGAGTTGCGCATGATTGCGATGGTCGGTGTGTGCGGTGCCTGAGAAGGATTCCATAAGGTTCCTTCATCAGCGAACAACTCCGTATTTTTCAGAATCGCTACACGGAATCAAAAGCTAACGTATGATTGCGGAATGCGTTCAAAAGAAGGTAGAGAACTGAGAGAGCTCTATGCATAAGCAATGGTGTACTCACCGATCTTTGCTATCATGCAAAGCTCTACTCTACGTTGTCGTTCGGGGACACTTTACGAAATTTGGTCAAAGCCGCTTTGAAAAATTTACATGTCTGGGTTTTTCAGGTACTGGAAGCTTTTCAAAACATGACACAGTTCCTGAAAATCAGCCTGAGTTTCAGTTTTTATCATTTCAATGTAAAATTTCACGGGAACTGCTAACATCTGTTTTGACTGCTTCTACTTCGTGAAAATTCTACTTTTGCCAATAAAAACAACACAGCAGAGGGAGCTTGTCTTAAGGGTAAAAAAGACCTAATGAGTTCATGCCGCAGTCATTTTTGGTATAATTCTCTGGGTTTCAGGCTTCTCACAAAAACATGCTTGGAATCCATTTTGGCCGCTTCTACTTCGCGAAAATCGTACTTCTGCCTTAAAAAATCAAAAAAAGCAGAGGAGGATTGTTCTCGAAGGGAGAACAATCCTGCTCTGCTCTTTTGCTGCAGCAGCTTTATGCGGCAGTGCGTTTCTGTTGATAATTTCTCAGTTTCAATGCTAAATTATACAGAAGCTCGCTTGAAGTCCACTTTTAACCGCTTTTACTTCGCAGAAATCATACCTCTGCCTCTTATAACAAAGGAGCAAAGCGAAAGCTTGGTCTCGAGGGAAGGAAGGCCTAAGGGCTTCATGCGGCAGTGCATTTCTGCTAGGAATTCCAAAAGCTCGCTTGATCCACTTTTTGCCGCTTCGCAGAAATCATACCTCTGCCTCCTATAATGAGAAGCAAAGCAAATTTGGTTTTGAGGGAAGGAAGGTCCCGAGGGCTTATGCGGCAAGAATGCTATATCAGAAATATTGCTTGAAACCCACTTTGGCCGCTTTTACTTCGCAGAAATCATACTTCTGCCCTCATTAGCAAAAAAGGAAAGGGAGCTTGGTCTCGAAGGAAAGAAAGTTCCAAGTGCTTCGAGTGGGAAACTTTTCTGCCAAGGATTTCTTAGGTTTGATGCAAAATTAGACAAAAGCTCAATTGATATCCACTTTTGGCCGCTTCTACTTCGAGAAAATCGTATGCACCTAAAAGCAGAAAAAGCGAGGGAAACTTGGACTTAGGGGAAGGAAGGCCCAGAGGCTTCATGCGGCAGGACATGTTTGCTAAGATCGTCCAAGAGAAAGCTTTGAGCGAACTTTGGTCTCGCTTCAAGAAATGACTTCGCGAGGTATTACCTATAAGGAGAGTATAGGACTGTGCAAGATCGCGAAGCTCGATGTGTTTGCGGCCGTCGCACATTCCTGAAAGTCAGCCTCAGCCTAAATTCCGGGTTGAATCAGCTGTTCTACATAGATGACTGCTCCGGCAACTTCCATTTTTAGGAGCTGGGGTTAAGTATTTGCAATAAGAACAGCGTATGTGATTTGGTAGTTAGTCGCTGTAAAAAGTTTCCTTGAGAGCCTGATCTTGCTTCTACTACTACTTGCATTGCGAAAAAGATCGTTGAAAAAATGGGAATTCATTCTCTTGCTATTCTTAGATGCACGCAGACAATTATCAATGTATCTGCCCCAGCCCACTTACTAGCGACCCGTAGGGTCGCTAGTCATATAACAAATACTAGTCGATATTTACGGAAGGGACTCTTTTTGCTTGAATACACATACTTGTAATCTTGTACAACGCCAACTCATATTCATGCTTTCGTAACTTGTGAACTCTTAATGAACTTTGACATTTACAAAGCTTTTGAACGATGTGAAACTATTCAGAATTTGGAAAACAGAAAGAACTTACCCTGGGTATAAATTGAAGCAGTTGTGAATAATACGGCAGAATCATCAGAATATAAACAGAAAGGGTTCTTGTAGCCTGAGTGGCGGCGTAGAAGTGTCAACATATTAAGTTGGCTAAAAAGTAAGTTCGTTTTGGCATACAAAATATCATAAAAAATTTTCTTGTTGTTTTCAATTTATGATTCTTTGTGGGAAAGTAGTTCGAAGCTTCCTCTATCACATATCAAATAATCAGGATTTTCTACCGTCAGCAAAGGCAGTTATGCCTCAACATGGCGGAATTTCCAAAAGCTCAATTCTTCAAGTTCTTGAGCTTCGTTTTCATGCTGTAATGGATGTAAAGAACAGCAGTTTGGTGTTTGGATACAGAGGAGTTATCCCTATTTAGTGAACAACGAAAAGAACTGGGAACTGCCATTTTGAATATGTTTCACTAAGAAAACCAAATTTCCTCATATTTGCGCATTATGGGAAAAGTGCAATTTCTCACTTCTTTGCGGATTTTTTCCCTGAAAAAATAAGTTTCACTCAAACAGAATATATGCTCCAATACCCAGTTAAGTGCCCTTTTTAGAGATACCAAACATTGGAAAAAAATTTGTCTACAGCATTTGTAAGAGCTGAAAAAGCGACCGAACTTATTTATTAGCCAACCTAATAACTTGGCTATTCAAAAGCATGCAAACGAGAAAACAATAAAAAACACGGTGGAAGAAAACACTCGCGAAAATCTCAGGAAGATCGTACAAGTAAAAGTAGTACATGAAGAAAAGATTATGGCAGTATATGTGTGTAATGTAATAATAAAGCATAAATGGGTAGATCTTCGGAATCGCTAGCATCGATGTTATAGATTGCTGATGTCGCTAGTGAATCTATATCCCGCCGAGCGAATCATCAGTCAATCTTCATTACTGTAAGATCACGATATGAACCGCTCAGCATGCAGCTGTGGAATAGCCCTTTTGATGAAAAAATAAAAATCTAAAAATTTGTGTAGCGAGGTTTCCAAGCGTGCTGATCTCACTGCATAAGTTCATACTAGTTTTTCAAACTTTTTTCAATAGTAAATTCATATTTTCGCCGAACATTAGAAAAACAGTTGTCACCCTAAATCTGAAATAGCTTCCGAAAAAGTATCACTAGTGAAGTGCAAATTTCATATTTGGAAATAGCAACTTCGAGTAGCCCACTACAAAAGTTTCTGGTTTGTTTGGTTCTATCGAACAATATGTTTGTTATATGTTATGTTGTTATATGTTTTTTACTTCTTTACCCTGCGGCGATAGGGTAGGGAACGGACATTTTATTGTCGGACAACTTGATAGATTGGCAGGCAAAATGAGAACTCTCATTTTTTGAAACAGTTTCAAAGCAGACTTCAATTCCTTGATTATTTGGGCTTATGGTAAGAGCCGTATGATCCAGGTGCGAAGTAATGCAGTGACCGCTAATTTGAGACGAAAAGAGGTAAACCAACGGTTACTACAATAAAATTGGTAGGTTTTCATCTCAACAGGGTTCGTTTTGGAATTCGGTCCTGCATTGCTTCACCCAGTTCGGGTCCAGGGCCCGGCACGAGGTCGGCAAAAGGGGTTTTCGAAAACGAATTCCCCTTTGACCCAAAATTTGTTTACGATTTCCCCTTTGACCCCAAAATTGGTCCCAGTTGTTCTACAGTGAACACTTTACCCAAAAAAACATTTATTGGAGAAAAAAAAACACCAATGAATGCAAAAATAAAGAAAAAGAGATCAGGAAAGAGATCTCGAATGACACCGGCACCTGGGGGGGGGGGGGGGGGAGCGCGGGGGGAGGGGGAGGGGGGCGGGGGGTTTCGTATCATTCATATGCTCACTCACAATATATCACTCACTCACTCACACTCACCCTCATCTTCTAATACTCCACTCTCACCCCCACTTTTGGATTCCACTCTTCTTACTCACTTTCCCCCCTCAAAAATCAAAGAAAAAAATCAAGCTAGGGCTTGTGTTTGCATTTTTTGCACCTCATTGAGGACACTGGAGTCAGGCGCACGCGCACTGACTGACGGCGACGAAGCCCACCGCCGCAACAGCAACCAGTGCAGCGGCAACGGTTGCGGCGGCGAGCTTCCTCGCCGTCACTCCCCTCCAACTCAGGGTCCTCAATGAGGCGCCCCCTCCCCCCGCGCCCCTCCTCTCCCCCCAGGGGTTCCCCCCTTCCCCAACTGCGCGCAGTCCTTACGTAGGTGCCGACGTCCTTGCAGAACGCGTACACTCTCCAAAAGAAAATCTGAATGATTTCGAAAGAAATGTGAACGACGGCATTCATCAGAAAATCCATAAATCCGATAGTAGAAAAGTCCATCCACCAGGGTGGCGCAGACTGGTGGAAAGTCGGATTGGCGGAGTTAGTCTTGGAGGATCTTTCCTTGTAATCCCTATCGACGAACTGCGCAAAAGAAGGGGCAGTGAGTAGGAAGAAACACACCGCTGTAAAAGCAGCAGATCGAAGAATAAGAGAGTTGGTAGGAAATTTACCTAACAACAGCCATCTAGGAACGATCTGCAGTTGGACGACTCTTTCATTTGACCGAAATTGTATAGAAGAGTTCTCGAACTGTTCTGCGCGGGCTTCTAAAAAAGACATGCAACTTGAATGGTACATTGGAAGATCACAAACCTTGTTCTTTCTTGTCTTCTTCCTCCTCGGGCATGAGAGCATCTTGAGAGCAAACCATGAGTCCACTCATATCGCGATAAATAGACAGTGCCGTCAAGGGAGCTCGGTGATGAACGGTTCTTTCGGCAAATGCAGTGTTGGATATGTCAATTTCCTAAATGGTCGAAATTTTTTATATCAACGCCAAACATTAGATCCGTCACCTGTAGGTGCACAACAGGGTTCAAAACAAGATGGAACAACATCAAGCGCCCGTTCTGAGTCAGTAAAGCCACGTAAGGATCAACTATTGATGCGGCAACAACAGGGAAATTGGAATCCAAATCAATCTGTTGGAGTTGTTTTTCTTCTGACACAAGAGCTACACGCAGTGACGTCACCTAAACAATACTGAAAAGTCTAGTCAGCGAATGAGATAAACAGCGTGAAACATTCTAGTGCCAGTACGATGAAAAATAAGATAAAAAAGATAAAAATAAACATACTTGAACAGCAGGACCACCATCAGCTAGCTCTCCTGCTGCAACGGTAGGTTCGTCCGACAGAAAAAGGGGTTCTTCCAATTCAACCATATCTTCCCCTAACTCGAGAATCAGAGAAGATCGTGTACGAGGTACGATGAGATATCTAAAAGCAAAAAGTAGCGATCACAATGTTAACACATCCAGATAAAAATCGGTGTAAGCTTGCAGTCCTACTTGTGAGAATCATCCTCTCTTCTTCCAACTGCCCAAAGCTGTTGAGCGTCTTGTAAGCTAAACAATCACATAGAAAAATCTGGGCTAAAATCAAATGTAGAAAACAGCATGAAAAGAGAAGAAAAACGAACAAACTGATGGTGATTATGTCTGGCCGCACCGTCCTTTGCAGTACACAAATTGAACCATTGACTGTATGCCCAGAAGCAACAATCTAGAAATTCTGGATTAACCTTGTTCGACCCAAATTTCGCAAAACCCACAATATCAAATATAGGGTCCGTTCTTTCCTGCTCCAGCAAAATTGGACTGACTCCATGGGCACCACCAGCGGTGATCGCTTTTATAGGACCGATGTTAGTTAAGCGATCAAGTTCAGAAAATATAAGTTTCTCTTTGTACTTCTCCTTGACTGTTTCCTGCAAAAACTCACACTTAACAGCTTTTTGCTGTTGTCAAATAGATTTGGGAATCAAAGAGTACAAAAAATATTTTCAAATATCTTATTTTCTAGTCAACGCTGGTATGCGGATCGTGCAGCTGAGAAAAAATGTGGTCAGCTAACCAGAATATACTGAGAAATGGCAGAAAACTGAAGAATCAGACTGTATTTTAGGGCCGCGATATTCGATTAAGAACCCCACTTGACTACTATTTAGGCTCATTGCACTCTCTCCTGACTGTTTGAGGTAGAGAACAACGAGGACAGTCATTACCTTAGCCATTAGCTTGCAGGAGCATGAACGCGCTCACTTCTTCACGTCTGGAAGAGAATCTATGCAAATAAATTGCTCAAGGTTTAGGGGTAAAAGCAGACTTTCTCAGATATTCTCAAGTATAATAACAGACCACTGTGTGTTGTGTATCGCGATAAGGGGGTCCTTTTGTGCCCGAAGGCTATTTGAGGCCTACAAGAAGAATGTTTGATAGATACTGTGTACAACTCTGAGGTGCAGCTGCAGTGCACACTTCATGCGCACAATTGTTTTTGAGGTCATTACCTTTTCCCAACTCAGCATCAAAAACGAAGGGAAAAATTACCAATGTGACAAATGCGATGGATGCGCAGAACGGTCTGTTGCTGTACAGTGTATCGCGATAAGGGGGTCCTTTCGAGTAGACGACGACAAGAGTGATATATTGGAATACAGATACGTAAAAAACAGCCGTTCCCTGAAACACATAACTATTTTGCTTAGTAAATTACGGATTGTCGATGCAGTTATCGTGCAATGCCACAACAAGGCGGAAGAATTCTACTACCTGCATACTCCTTTTATCTTCAGTATCTGATCCACGTGGAGCAGTGTAAGGAACAAACCATGGCTGGGTTGTGGTCATCAGAAACACAAGCAGCTGAAATACATCATCATGCTTCCACTATTTCGGCTAATCAGATGAGATGCCAAGATCAAGTCGAGATCAATAACTCGTTTCACCTGTGTGCTACCCATTATTGCTAGTTGCCCAAGCACGCTACAGATACTGGCAACAGACAACAATCGTGTAGGAGGCGTCATCGGACAGAGATTCTCATAGGCCGCAGTGTTTCCAAAAAGAACAGCCAGCAGAGTTATCAAAAACATGTCGATATACATGAACTAAAACAGATCAATTACCTACTAAACAAACAGTAGAGTTTATAGCCTGACCTGCCCATCCGTAAGGATGTTTGAGATATAGTACAAGAGCATTACGGTGACAAATTGTGTCAGAGAGTAGCCAGCCATGTATTTGAAGATTCCAAATGATGTGACCAACGCAGCTCTTCCCTCGCTTATAATCGTTGGAACGCACCGAATGTCAGCAACCTAGAATCGTTGTTTGATAGAACAACAAAAAAAAGGTTTAGCGAAGGATCACAATAAAAAGAAATACAAGAGTAGTCTTCTAAATGCAGACTTTTGCTAGGAAAAACGACATAGAGCCACTGTTAGCGAAACCAACCTTCGAAGTGAAAGGCGCGGCGATCGAAGCCTCAGCGTCGGAAAGTGATATTCCTGCATGTGCTGCCTGAAGGGCGTAGATATGTTTTATTCAAACATCTTTCTGCTCTACCTTTAATGCTGCACAATCATTTGCTCCATCGCCGCACATTGCAACTGTGTATCCGATTTTTTGGAGGCAATTTATGAGCTGCTGTTTTTGATTCGGTGCCATTCGAGCAAACACATCGCACACAGTTACTAGTGAATCAAGAAGTTCAGGATACTCGTGAGTAATGACCGCGAAAGTAGGCCCTACAAAAATGGAATTGAACAAAAGATGTGTTGAACATTGTCTGGACCAAACAACTCTGGAAACGCTGATTCGAAACGTGATCTCAAGAAGGATCAGAATTTTAGGAAGTTGATTCGTAATTGGCCAGCCAGTGGCTTATAACTGACACGATATTCAGAATTTATAGGTGCAAAGCTCCTACTGATGCATTTCTAAAAAATCTACTAGTGAAATAGTAATCTCAAAGGTGCTAAGCACGCGCGCTCGCTTGATTTTGTATGCACTTTACGATTCTTTATATATAGAGATAGACAGACTCTGAACCCATCCCAACCTGATATGGCAAGGTGGTAGCTGCTCTGAATAAGCTGTCCCAGCTTTGCATCTTTCACGTTCTTGACTTTGACTGAGTCATCATCGAGAATGTCGCCAGAGGACGAAACAGACTGAAACATAAATCCACCTAGCATTCGCTGCATTTTTCGATATGCAAACCTGCTTAACGGCTATCTTTGTTCGCCCGTTCACATCTACCTCTCCTGGACAGTGCTCTACCAAAAATTCTCGTTTATTCGGGCGTACTATGCTACACTCTCTAGCAACACTCATTGCAGTCAATAAGTTATCGCCGGTAACCATGACTGTTCTGATCCGAGCGCTACAAGGGTAAGATGGGTTGAGGAATCAACGTGAAGAAATCGAGAGAGTGTACCGATTTAACTGGTTGATCACACCAAGTGTGACTGGTTTGATAGGATTCTCCATCGCCACCAAGCCAAGTAACTGCAAGTCGCACTCCACCTAAAATAGTTATTTCTACGTTACCAAGTATCCATCAAGATAACTGTGATGAAAAAGAAAAGGGTATAAAAAGAGGTCATCGATGAGAAAATAGAATATATACAAGAAATTCTACCTTTGCTCTCGGCATCTTAGCGGCTTTGTTGAAATTCAGATGCAGAGTTTTCCGCGCAACGGCAATCAATCGGAAGACCGTGCAAAGTAGGTGACTGCAATATCAATAACTTCAAGAAGAGAAGAAGTAGGTGATGGCAGGGCTAGGTCGTGAAAATGAGCCGAAATGAGACGAAATAATAACGAAATATAACGACGAAATGACGAAATGTAGAGCCGACGCGAAAGGAGGACTCAGCGATACGCAGTTCGATTGGGGCACGCTTTTCTCCTTAGGAGACGGGGCTTTTGAGGTTATTTTGCCTCTAGCAATGAGGGGAGGAGGAGATTTGGAACCAAATTTTCCATATATACTAATCTTTAGGGGTACAGTAGATTTATGTAAAAATTTTGAAAAAATTATGTGAATTGAGAGTTTTGCCGACCTCAGGTCGGAATTAGGTCGGCAAATGCCGACCTAATTTGGAAATTAGTTAAGGAAACTCTTCATTCACATAAGTTTTTCATAATTTTTCATACTTTGTTACTTAGTCCTATTGCGCATATACACACCAAGTCCCGCGCGATTTCGTTTGCTCTGCGTTGCAAACGAGCCATTTTTCCATTTTCTTGATAGGGGGAAATTTCCAGACAAAAGCTTGCCACAACATTCAGTCACATAATTTTTCAATGAAACTTCTAAGTTAAGCCCCGCAGGCCCGTGTTCATCTACCTACCAAGTTTCATACCATATCGTCATCTGTGCGCTGTAAACGAGCCGTTTGAATTCACATCTTCATTTACCAGTTTTGCAAAACTTTCGGAATAAATGCTTATTACTCGTTGCGTTCACATAAGTTTTTCATAATTTTTCATACCATGTTTCCATTAGCCCCTCTGCGTTCGCTTACAAAATTTGATGCCATATCGTTACGCATACATTGAGAACTAGTCATGTATGCTGCAACAAATAGCATTGTTTAAACGACGTCGCGCGCGCGGCAGTTAGCGACGGCGCGACGTGACGCGCGCGAACTCTGCTGTGCCTCTATCGAGGTAAGTTGAGATAACATGACATGCTGAGATACGCAGAGTGAGGCAACGGCTGTGGAAAATTGACCACTGAGAGTCAGTGTAACGCTATTCGCTGCTCTTTTTTGCATAGACACAGCGCCCGGCCCCGCTTGTCACTTCTAGCTGCACACGTCGTCGAATATGCTCATCCTCGTCTTGACGTCCTTCATCCTTGGAGCCAGTGCCATTGAGCCATGCGTGCCATACATCAGTGAAATATCAAATTTCACCTTTGGAAACTCCAGGAATTTGCAATTCATTGAACTGCAAGTCGCGGAAAGTTGCCGCACAAATCGTAAGGCAATGCAGGAAATGATCTTTAGCGATTACGGCCTTGTCATTCTTCACACAAAATCGCGAGAGGTAGGCAATCAAGCGTCTCATTTTCTTTCAGTACATAATTTTACAGAAAGGAGATCGCTTAGCATTTGAGATGAAAACATTCGTGAAATTTGCGAGATCGCTCTGGCCCAAGCAACGCCATGAAACCAACGCAAAGAGAGGTGGCCGCAGAGTTGCTGATCAATTTCTAGCGTTTTTCGTGGTGGGTGGGCCAGCTTCACTTGCTCCTCCTGTAACCGCCAGTGAACGTTCTGGAGAAGCGATCAATTGGGATATGTACACAAGCGATATCGGTGGCAAGTGCGGATCTCTTATCAACTGGCCTCATTGCGAGCAGGCAATGCCTCAGGTATTGTTATCTTTAGCTCAATGCCAAATTTCTTTAAAGGTGCTCTTTTAGGGGCAAGGATCTCTAGACAGGTTTCTGGTAACCGAATCGCCTTCTCCTGTTTTCGTGCATATTTCAAGCGAAAAGGAATTGCTGCAAGGTCAAACAGTGATCGTCCTCGTGCAATTTGACCACAAAAAGAGGAAAGAAGAAGCGGATTATTTTTCGCGTGCGTTCAGCTACGTGCAGTTTGATTCCAACAAGAACAAATATTTTGCACCGGAGTTGGTAGTCACGCGAGAAAAGCAGGAGTGGCTCTCAGCACGTGTCAGGGATATGATTGTGCTGACACCCTCCCTGGACGAAAGTGAAATACTCCCATTGCACCGTTTGAAATATCTTATCTCCCCTCATCTTCCTGTTGCGATCCATGTCCTACCGGAAGGTTTCACCGCCCTCAAAGGGGACGAGTCCATTTCTCGTTGCTCTTTGGAGGAGCATATATTTGCTATCACCAAACAGACTCCCGGCAGTGACAACCTCTGCGACTTCAACGTCAATTATCTACATAGAACACCTATCACAGAACTTTGCGAGCCGGATGAAACACCTGAAGACAATACCATTTCCGAAGATATGATTTTGGACACTGAAGAGTTTTATGAGCCACACCTAGATATACTCATGGATGTGGATGATGTTGCAGCATCAACATCGCAGCAACCCGCCACTCCTGCTCCCGCAACTCCTGCTCCCACTACTCTCAGTTCTGCCGCTCTCGCTCCCGTCACTCCTGCTCCTCAACGACGCTCTTGCCCGAACTTGGAATTGATTCGGAAGCAGGACAAGGCTATAATCAGCCTCAATCGACTTTTGGAAGGTGAAGAACGTATCCAAAATCAAGTATGCACTGTGGATGCTAGAGTAAGACAAATACAGTCAAATCTGAATGAACAGGAAGAGTTGCGAAAGGCAGCGGCGGAGTACGCGACTTTGGAAGTGAGACGAAAGTTCGGAAAAGAAATGGACCCTGAACTACCCGATAAACTGAGGAGGTTGAGGCACATTGGCATCGATTTTACCGACAATCAGATCAAAAAAATGAGCTTTTCTTGGCTGCAATTGGTACTGGACGATTCTGACTTGACAAATTCGTTTTTCCGTTGTAAACTTTGCAACAGAGAGCATCCTTTGCGAAATCAGGAGTCGTTGTTCGAACACTGTTCTAGAGCCATTTATGATAAGGGCAAGTCAACAAATTCGATGGGAGCGAACAAAGTGTTGTGCATCAAACAGGCGGCAGATGCTCCTAGAGGTTGGAAACATGGGCTGTTCAGGATAATCGATAGCCACGTAAGCACGAAGGAACACTTGCAAGGACAAAAAATGTTTCATCAAGCTTGTGGAGCTCAGCAGCAAGAAAATTTGAAGTTCGCCGTGCAGGCAACAATGACAGCAACTTTATCGGCGTACACCATAGCGAAACAGGGACTCCCGCTGTCTACGCAATTCCCTCTTTTGATGTTTGCGCTGCAAAGTGGTGCAAGCGTTGGTTCAGCCCACTACGAAGCGACCACTGCCAAACGGATGATAAAAAACTTTGCTGTGCATATCGAGTACGAACTCTTCAGATACCTAACTAGTAATGACCTTCCCTTTTCCATATTACTGGATGGATCATCGTCTTCTCGAGGCACAAAATGGATGTGTTACATGATACGAACTTTAACCCCGTCGTTCAACCCCTATACATTTCACCTTCTAATCGCTGAGTTAAGACGCGAAACAGGAGAGAGCATAACAGATACTCTACTGTCGCACTTGAAGAAACGATCATCATGGAAAGAATCTCCTGGACTCTCCACATCACCGTATGATCATGCTATGAAAAGACTCGTGGCAATCACGACTGACGGAGCCTCTACGATGACTGGGCATATTGACGGTGTTTATGGAAGGCTTAAACGTCACATAAAGGAACAGACGGAAGGTTCTTTCTCACCGAGACACAACTTGCTGCTGTTTGTTTGTTCGGCGCATAAGCTCAATCTTGCCATGAAAGATGCACCTCATCCCGGCTACAAACTTGCTAGAGCACTCATCATGGAAATGCACAGAATTTTTGGTGCCACGCAATCTTCTTCTGCCCGCAGGCACTACAAGGACGTAGCAAAATTGATGTCGTTTGTAAACTTAGAGATGGGCCAATTTTTTGCCATAAGATGGACAGACAGTTTCAGAAAGGGCCTGAACAATGTCGTTCGCATGTGGCCCGTGCTCATCGAAAGTTTACACAGGGTAGCTGAAGACAGTACCATTGCAGAGAACACGCGCACACGAGCAAGACTTGCGTCTTGGATTATGAGAGACGGGCGCGTTTTTTTCATGATTCAATATGTTTTAGGCGCACTTGACACCATCGCGTCGCTTTCTCTGACTTTCCAGAATTCCGACAGTCTGGCAGTCGATGCTATGGAAAGTGGTCGCGCCGCGCAACGCAAATTGATAGATGAGTCCGTAGTCGACTCCGTAAGTAATCGTGTGTTAAAAGAGTTGACTAGGCACAGAAGTGTAGTGTGCCTCTTTGACGACAACCGAAAAAACCGAAAACTGTTGGATAGAGAGTTTTTGAAGAAATACTATTCGCACCCGGAGGATAGCTCACCTGAAGCTGAAGTGAATCAACATTTGGAAAAATGGCAGCTGATATACCTGCCAAAGCATTTTAAAGATTACAAGCCGAGAAACGAAGAAGAGTTAACAGATGAAGAAAAAGAGTTGAGATCTGCGCTTATATCGCAAAAGAACTTCAGGTCGCTGGAAGTGAGAACAAACGATGATGATTTTTTTGAAAATGTCGACCCGGAATCAGAAAGTTTATTTTTTGATCATCAGGACTCCCCCGACATGGTGCAGGAACCGGGTCTCAATTTTGGGCTAGGGTCAAGCTATCGCAGTTTCTTATCGAAACTTGGTGACAAGAGCGTATGGGATGAGGCCCAAGCAATGTATACGGACATATATGCTTCCATCGGCAATAGAATGCAAAGTTCATCTATTCCTGATTCCATCTTTGTTGCAGTTGACCGCCACATAATTCTCGATATCATAGACTTTGAAGGACAGTTTCCAACAGCATGGGAAAAATATGCGCCTCCGACTGCTACTTTCGAAAATAGAGGCTTCGCACACTACATTGGTTTCGGCGACGTATACGACACTGCTACTCGAAACAAAATGTTCGATGAGTCAATAGGATTGTTGGAAGACTACTGTGTGGCGCCCCGACTCAAAGAACCGCTATACACTTTCTACTCGTCTTTGCACAACAGAGTGCATGATCTGCGGGAGTGGCCACAAGATCTACGAGAAGATAAGACCTCTAGAAGGCTTTATCAGAAGCTTCTGGAATTTCGCGACGAGCTTGACATGCCACCAGAGGTTGAACTGGTAGGAAAAGTTATATATTTAAGATTTTTACTTGCTCTATTTCTTCCTGTCTAACAGGTGTTCAAATGCGTGCTCGTAATACCCGCTAGCAATGCTGACTCTGAGCGGACTTTTTCTACGGCGAATCGTCTAACAGCGGGAGAGAGAAGCAGCTTGTCCACCAAAACAATTAACGCTGTGATGCAGTCAGGATAACTTCATTCATAACTTTTTTACAATCTTACTGATAACCTTACAGCGTGCAGCAAAATGGTCCCAATCTTCTCACAGTTTCACCTAAAAAACTGGCGCATCAGTGGATCAGTCCCAAACCCGGACTCCAACTGCCACGTGGAATTCACTCATCAAAGGGGTCTACCACGAACATGATGTCCACGATACAAAAAGCTTATTTCAAAAGTGAGCCTCTTATTGTACAAATTGTGCCGTCAAATCTCTCAAATTTTCAGAGACATGGGATGCCGACTCTTTCCAGGAAGTACTGGGAAGCGAAGTCGATGTAGAGGGCCTGCTGAATGTGTTTGCCGAACAAGCTGTGAAAAAATCTCTTTACAGCAAGAGCGATATCGAGGTTATTCGTCAAGAAATTATCGCTGAGGAAAAGGCAAAATCCGAGATCTTTAGCATTGGTTTAGCTCACGTCAACGACGTTGATGATCAGTGATGTTTTTGGAATAAAGCAATTCTTTGACTTTTTCTTAACTTTTTTCACATACACATAGTTCATTCTTTGCTCTGCATTTTATATAGAAAAAGCGTAACAGCATGAGATTAGAACAGAGCTGCAAGAGGATGTTAATCAGCTTCTACTCATTTGCAGCAGCAGATTAGAACAGAGCTAATATAGTGATGTAATTTTGCTACAATCGCTTTGGCCTGCTCAGTCGTATCACGGCTTGCCAACATGCTACAGTAGACAGCATCCTGCACAACTATCACTACTACTAAATTTATTTCATTTTATAATTTATTTTTTATTTTTATTATTTTATTTTTCACTACTGTATTTATCAATATATTCCAAAATCAAAAATACGGAGTTGCATTGAACATTGAATTCACACAATTCACACACAGAGAATGGAAGGATATTTTATTGCGATCAAAGATAGTAGTCTAAGGCGGATAAATTCCTTCTTCTTCTCCAGGGATTAGGTTCCGGAGGTCCTTCCGCTTCCCTTCGCCCCCATGGCAGAACCGGCTGTGGTGGATTGTTTCGCAAAGCTGGATCACCGAAATTCACCCCTTGGTTCAATATAAAACCACCCGATCTAAATCGGGGGGGCTCCTCGTCCCTGTTCTGCTGCGGCTGCGGTGGATTCGAGCTGTTATTCATTATGTTAATGTGAATACTGGAAGACCAGATTAGCAGCAGGATGGTGGTGATGTGGAATAGTGGGTCAAGTGAGACCATTCTTTAAACTATAAGAGCTATAAAAGCTAAAAAAAGCTATAACTATAAAAGCTTTGAGATTTACTGCTGACAAGTGGCATGCCCGTCCTCCGCACCGCGGTTGGCTCATCAAAGAGCAGAACAGTCGCTCAAGTTCAAAGACTCAACATATCCGCTCTTCGGATTTCCCCTGCATTTTCTCGAGTCACAATTGAGATCATTGCTTTTCTAAAGACATAATCAGTTGTTCTCCATACATGTGTCAGAAACACATTCTTGGTTCCATTGCCATAATTCCATTTGCCTTATTCGAGTTTTATGAAAGTATTTTGCAGTGTTTTTCGATGTGGACGTTATTCCTTCTTTTCTGCATAGCCGCAATTTCATGCGACGAAAACCCATGTCATCCTTTTTTTTAATGAGATGTCATGTCTACAATTTTCGAACAATGCAGAAGTGCAATTCATCGAATTGAGCGTCACCACTGAATGCTACAATGATGAGGAATCAATGAAATCACTGAAATTAAATAATTATGGAATACTGATTGTGAATACGAAGTCATCTTTGGTCGGTTTTTCTGAATGCATATGACATAAATCATGCGTTCGATTTCAGATGGGACACGAACACAATTTCCACACTACAACTTTTGTGGACTTCAACAACCAGTTCATTCTTTGCTCTGCATTTTATATAGAAAAAGCGTAACAGCATGAGATTAGAAAAGAGCTGCAGCAGAATGTAAATCAACTTCTACTCAAAAGTTCAAACAACTTAATGAAACTTATGTTTCTGACAACTCAATTACAATGGAAAACGGAGGCTAGAGCAGCATGAAAATAGTATCTTTAATTAAGTACTCGAGAACTATTTGAGGACTCAAAGCTACAGCGTAAGCAGTCAGAACCTTCGCTCTCGACCTCAACATGGACAACCTCAATCTTCTACTATTTATTCTTCGTGCAATACCTGAGAAGCTGCCAGCACCTCCGTTCTTTTTCGTTTTTTCCTCCGTTTTTTTTCGTTCTGATAAAGTTGTAACGCTATGATATTTCATTCTGTGCAAGTCCAGATGAGAAGGGCTCAGCTTTGCCATCGTAACCATCATTTTTTTCCGGGGCTCCGCCCCGGACCCCGCAAAAACGATTTCCCCTTTGCTTTTTGGCCCCAAAACGATTTCCAGCTTGGCATTTGCCGACCTCGTGCCGGGCCCGAATCGGGTCCACTGAACAAAGAGCTGACGATACACTTTCTGACTGTACTACGTTAATGCAAAGCTATCTGTCTGTGCAGGCAAAACTTCTTGCAGACTGGCTCCTAGTGCTTTCAAATTTTTTAACGATTACTCAAAAAATGCATGTTTTTTTTAACCAAGGAACCAGAGAAAAAGTAAATTTACCATTCTTAATCGAGAACACGATATTATAATTTGGTAAGTTCTGCAGTTTTTCCGTAACTTTTTTCTTGTCGAATCTAACGCATCCAAATTTGGCAATATTTGTGGCCACTGATTTCTCGACGTATGCCTTCGCAATAAGGATAGAGCAGGCACCGGTAAAGGGAAAGAAACCATCGTCACAGGTTTGAATGGAATTTGGTTTGGGGGTCTTTGCGCGCTAATCATGAAAGTGACTGTGATTCCGCATGCTAAAGATCTTTTTGAATAATTACGATTTTGCAGGCCGATTATTCCACTTTGCAGAGTACAGGGAATTTTCGAGATTGTGACGGTGGTTGATGGATCCGCTGCAGAGTTGGCGACAATTTCGATAACAAGTTCGCGAAGGAACCAGCTCCCAACTGAGAGTCAGACTCTAGCGGCGCTTTATTATTAGTTTGTAAAAAAAGTTCCGGGACAGTTTCGGAACTTTCATATTCAGACTCATTTTTTAGCATTCGGTCAAACTGCGAAATTTGCTACAAGTGCACACAAATATGCTTTCAAACTTGCCTCTGACGGCAATTTCTTGGAACTAGCGTCGAATTTTGTGTGGAGCGCCGCAGCTGGGTGATGGGCCAAAAAGAAACACGCATCACCCAAACAATATTTGCAGCAACCAAAAATTTGGCAGATTTCGTGCAAAAATGGAATACTTCAAAGCAGGACTCGGCATAGGTGGCTCAGAGAGCAGGTTGGATATCGTTTTGGAGTGAAAAGTAAAACAGATATCGTTTTTGCGGGGTCTGGAGCCCTGAAAATGTATCTATAAGCTTCAGTTGTTGTATACAATAATCGCCGATCGCTTCGTGCAAAATCACAGTATTGGGATTGAGAAAAATGTTTCAAAAAACCTTCCGACGCAAGGCAACCTAAAACTTGAATTAAAAAATTAAACTTGGCCAGTTTCCGCCCACCAACTCAACAAATTTTTCTGCCCTCCCCCCCCCCAAAACGAAAGTTATCTCAAAGGTGTTTTTGCATGAGTTGCACACATGCACTTTCATCCCTCCCTCCGCATTTCTTCATCCTCCTGATGTCGCAAGTCCTCAGCATGCCCTTCCTATTCTCTGCGGGACTAGCAATTTCTCGCTTCAGTATGCTCGCCGCGCAAGCGCGGGAATTCAAAAATGCCGCGAATTGAAAAAAAGGTGCAGCGAAGAGGAAATATGACAACAAAATTGGTTTGTGTGTTTGCGATAAGAAGTTGCAACAATATATAAAAAATTGTAAGTTATGTGAACCGTGAATCGAATGCGTGGCAACCCTTCTTCGGAGTTAGGTTGCTTTCTAGTCACCTGGCCAGCCACCTGAGGTGGCACAGAGAAGAAAAAATATACATTTTCCTTCCTTCACATAAATTTTTCAAATGTATTACATAACTTTGTTTTACACAAAACCTCACAACTGAATTTTTCAATCTTTCCAAATCCCCCTCGCCTAGTTAGAGCGCCTACGGGCCAGAAGTCACACAGCGAGGCAGCCGCTCGCCGCGCTGAAATTCTTTGCGTCACAAAAGCTCTCCGGTGCTAAAGTGGCACGGCGCAACGGTAGAGGAGGGGTGAGAGGGGAGGGGTGGCAGCAGATACATGACTCGATGGTGTAAGTATCATTGCGACAGGAGTACCGGGAGTTGAGATCTACACTGCTTGAAGTCGCTTCGCGAAAATTGTGACTCCTGACTCGTACCCAGTTATAGCCTTCCAGCAGTGGCGGTCCCAGGATTTCTTGCCAAGGGGGGGGGGGGGGGAGCGGCGAGAAATTTTTTCAGATAAAGATGCGTGGCGTTAGCCACGCACTCCGAAAAAGTTTTTGGGATGCTTCTCAAAATTTTTGCGGGCCCATAAGCATTGCATTTTAGTGGTTATGGGCCCGCAAAAATTTTGAGAAGTACCACAAAAATTTTTACGAGGCTAATCTTAATGAAAAAATTTTAAAATTATTCTAGTCATTTACAAGAATAGATAAGTCACTTGCACATCTTTATATCCATGTAAGTAAATTTCAAAATTTTCGCGACCTGTCCGCTCCCCCCCCCCCCCTTCGGATCGCCACTGCCTTCCAGGTATTTTATATGGTAGCCTGCTCCAAGCGCACAATGGTGACACAGCATGCCGCCATTTCGGAGAGTGCGGACATCTTTAATATCACCTCCATGACGAAGGCGGTCGCCCAAATAGGTTGAGAGCATGCAAGGCTGACGCGCACGCGGCGCGCGGCAATTGTGCAACCACGGGTCGCGCGCACGCTCGCGTGGATGACCGCTGACCGACCGTGCGCGCGCCCTGTGGTTGACAATTGCCCGCGCGCCGCAGCCTTTCATGCTTTCAACCTATTTGGGCCACCTCCTTCGTTTTGGAGCAGATATTAGTTTCTTTTCGTCTGTTCAATGTTGTTTTCATGTGTTCCAATATTTTTTGTTTTTTGTGGCTGATCCACTGGTGATCGTGTAACAGGTGAGCCTCTTTTCTGTCGAAGTGTATAGGGACTTTGTTTTTGAAAATTTAGAAAGGAAACCTCATGCCGAGCCCGGCTTCAAATTTATTCTATTAAAAAATGTGACATTTTTAAGGTGCAGAATTGGCAGATTTTTCAAACTTTCAAAAAATGTTGCAGATGGTGCCGTACAGTTGTGACTTGCTCTATTAAAAATCCCGGGAAATGTTCAGATATACAGATATGAGTTCTTCAGCGCTCTTTATGCCTGAAGAGACCATGCACGAACCGAACGATTTCCAAGTCAACCTTCCTCCCTTCTGCGCACGCTGGTGGTTCTTTATGTAAAACTTGTATATCGTTTATGCCTAGGTCAGTCAAGATTTTCAAACCACTCTGCAATAGATATTTCATCAAGATTTTCAAACCATTCTGCAATTCTCGATTGTTTTAATAAAAACAAGTCATTCATGAGCATTTTATTTCTTTGTTGTTCCCTCAAGAACTTTGAATGGGATGGTCACAAAGCAGAACTAGATATTAAACAGTTACATTGGACAAGCCGTTTCCCATTTTTTGAAATCCTCCTCGCTAATTTTCTGCGCGACCCACGACACTTTGTCTCTGCGTGGTCTTGGTCTATTCAAGCGGAGAAAGTGATTTCTGCCAGTGGCCTTCTGTAACATAAATGAATGTACCCACTTTCTCGACAATCTCAGTTAGCAGCAATCATTTGATGAAAAAAAAACAGTAAATTGGATTTAGCAGCACTGTGAGAAATCAGTTTCTGGTAATTTTTGCTCTTTCTCTGAGGTTTTGTGCATGACTATGTTCATACAAGCATAAGTGAACATCTCTTGTCGTTTGCTAAATATGTTAGTTTATCCAATAATTCAAATCAGTCCAAACACAATTAATAAGAAGATTCATGAGTTTCAAAAATTCCTCAAGTAAACTTTGCTCTACCACTCAAACGCTGTGGACTGTGACGTATAGATTCTTGGTCAGTTTTATTTGTTCTGCCTGCTTACCTTACCTTCGTGAAACTAAATTTCTTAGGTGCTGAATTATTGTCAGAAATCGGCTCGTTGAGCTCTGTGAAAAAAGTGATAGTGATCGCAGATTATTTGAGATCTTACGCCATTTAGAAGTTGAATAAGGCAGCTGAATTGATGCTATCATAAGCAGTAAGCGAATTTTCGAAATTTGTGAAACCTTGCATTATAGGGTAATTCTGCATGCTGAATAGAATTATCATATTCACTTGCCATCAGATCTGCACTTTTTTCTGGCCTCAACAAAAACGCATTGTCGTGCAAAGTGAGATTGATATTCGCATTTAGCGTCTCGAAAAAACCTTCTCTAAACCAAGTTTCAGTTGCAGCGTAACGATATGAAACAATTCAGAAACAATTCCTTTTACCGTGTATCTTACCGTAACCCTCACACGCGTTACCAGAGTTTGAACTGCTGTATCTGTAAATCACATCCGGTATAAACTTGCCAAAGCAGCGTACCATATGCAGATAGAGGAAAGTCATGAAAAAAGTTGCAAAACTCAGTCAACAACCCATTAAAAGGGAAAAATAAAGGAGTCTGAAAGAGCAAATGAAGCATTACGAGCTCTTGCAAATATTTGCACTATGATGAAAGTTTTTCATTGCAAATGTAGTGCCAAAAAGATGAATATTGCTGCTCGAGCACATATTAGAGACCCCTTCTAAGTCAGTCGATTTTATGCAAGGTTTTGCAAGTCCTGACTTGTTGGAATAAAGGGAAAAATTTCGAGCGGCTGCTTTGTAAGAAAACCGTATTTTACGTTTTCTTTGAGTTATAGCAACAAACATGAGATTGTTAAGTTCTTTGGAATTATCATACTTACCTCGGTAACCTTCAAGAACATAGCTGTCCAATCTTCAGGCAAGTTGTATTTTTTTCTCAAGAACCAAGCACTTGGCCAGTTTGGACGCATGTGGTAAATTTCATATCTATTTATGCTATCGTTGTCAGCCTAAAGTTAGTTTTTTGTAAGTTTGATTTGTTCTACCAGTTTATTTGGTCAGTACCAATTTTTTGCCTAGAAAACGTTCGACTTCATTTGGAGCCTTAGCGAAATTCCGGAATTCGGCCATAGTCTCACTCTTCTCGAAGTCTTTGGAGCAGTAAGGTGCTTTAGGGTAGGGAGGTCCTTAAATTCATCAAAGAAGGATTCTATCCACATGTTGCACATATGGTGAAAATTTCAACACTCATAAATTGAATGAAGGTGACCAGTGTAGCGCAGTGGCAGAGCTGCCACTATGGATTGGTCACTCGCCAGCCAGACCCTATACTCTCTGGGACGGTAAATTGGTACTAAAGCGTTTTGGGAGAATCGGGTATTGGCATAGTGAGGTGATTCACACTTTGCTGCAAAGGTTGGGACGCATTCAGTATCCTCCTTGCCAGGATTACAATGTTTAGCATTCACAGAGGATGTGAGGACTAAAGCTTATATAGTTTCTGACGTAACTGCTCAAAAAATACATGGACCGCAACTGGAATTTTCTTCAACATTTACACCTCTTAGCATGCAAAACGTTGTAAAGGACGAAAGCACAGAAGAAGTATTAGGGGTAAGGGGCGCGAACACTGCGCCTGCGTATCTTTACAATTATAAATCCTGCGCCTCATGTGTTCTGCGGCTAATGAAACCGCGTTCGCGCCCAAAAAATTGCGCCTTCGTCATGCAGCAGCCTATATACTTTTTGGCATACCGAGCATCTTAAAATAGATGCCTCTCTGTCGATCGTATGACTCCGAGACAGTAGATTATCAGGTACAGTCAGGTAAATCACGGCAAGTATAGTTCGGCAGCCCAGCGATTCGGGGGTGAAATATTCCTGTCAAAGGGAGCTATGAGTGGTTCCTAGATTGGTGCGAAGTAGAAGTGCTTAGTCCCTCCTGCGTGGCGATCACGAAAAAATTACGCAAAATGCCGGCATTTTAGGCGTAGCTATTTGTTCACGAGAGAATCTTACCGCCTGATCTCGGCATCGCAAAGACCTATTTACTGTCAGATTTACAGGACCGTAAATAATATATTTCCAGTCTTGTCAAACGTTGTGGACGTAAAAACGTTCAATACTTCTTAAATCTTGAAAATTCTAGCAAACAAAGAAGGTTAAAAAGTATTAAACTGCTGCATAAGTTCTGTTCGATTTTGTTGCCTTATGTTTGAAGCGGCTACCCTAAGGGTTCATCTCTAAAGTGATATTGTTAGTACCACTCGAAAGCGCTTTCATTACTTTTTCTGACGCGTATTATGCAGGAAGATTTAAGACCTAAAATTTCCAAGTAGCTGAGGTACGTTCTTACTTAGATACTTAGATGGACCGTCCTCACGTGACGTGCGGGCCCCAGTACAGAAGTTGCCATTTTTCTCTGTCCCTCGCTTCAGACGTCCACGATCTTCTTAGCCGTCGTCGGTGGCTGCGTCCACGAGTTCCAGGGGCGAAAGTCGTATCCAGCTGATTTCTCAGCTGGTCCATCCGTTCCACGGACACGTCTGCCCATCTCGTCGGCGGTCTTCCTCGAGACGTTTGGCTTCGCGAGGAATCCACTCAGATGTTCTTAGTGTCCATCTGTCGTCTGTTCTTCTCATGATGTAACTGACCCATCCGTTTCGCTTTCGCAACGTATTGGGTCACGAAGACGGGACATTTTTCTCATATCCGTACTGCGAAGTCCGACTAGATGTTGCTTGCGTCGGGTCATCTTCAGAAGACTGCGCTCGAGCGCTCTGTGGGTGGTCCGTAAAGCTTTCGACGTGGCTACGGTGTCGGCTCAAGTCTCCGCTGCGTAACAGAGCGCCTGGAGAACGGTTGAGTTGAACAGGTGGACACGAAGCTCCGGGTCCGTCAGTTGGTCAGTGGCTTCCTTCAGAGGCCCGAAGGCGGCCCAGCTGCTCGTCTTCTCCTGTTAAGAGTTCTTCCCTCAAGTCGTTCTCCATGTTCATTGAACGTCCGAGATACACGTAAAAGACGTCTCCATAATAGGGGTGCCTTCCAATTCCATTTCTGCATCTTCACAAAGGGCGTTCTTCATGAACTGAGTCTTCTCGCGATCTCGCGAACTCGCAATCCGTTCTTCTTCCCTACTTCGTTTAGTTCCTTCAGCATCGTCTCTGCTTCAGTAATACTGTTCGAGAAGAGGATGATGTCGTTCGCAAACCGAAGGTCCGACAGGAACCTCCCATCAACGTATGCCTCACTCGTCCTAGTCCAGTGACTTCATCACCCACTGCAAGGCCGCGGTAAACAGCTTCGGTGAGATTGTGTCGCTTTATCGGACCCCCTTCCCAACTGGGATGGTCAGGGGGCGATGGAATAGCTGCATCGTCGTTGTGCAGTCCTTATAGCGGTCGACTAATGTCCTCACATAAGCTGGGCCCACTCCTTGATCGATCAGCGCAGACAGGATGGCTTTGGTTTCCACGCTGTCAAAGGCTTTCTCGTAGTCGACGAAGGTCAGGAAGAGGCAGTCGGTATTCCCGGCAGACTTCTATGACCCTTGAAACCGTCTGGATGTGGTCCATGCAGCTGAATCCTTTGCGAAATCCAGCTTGTTCTTGGGGTTGGACTTCATCCAGTGTCCTAAATATGCGTGCGAGGATAATCTTCGTGAAGAGTTTGTACTGCACACTCAGCAGGCATATTGGACGGTAGTTTCGAAAATCCTCCCGTTCACCCTTCTTGAAAAAAAGGGCGGTTCTTGACGTTTTCCATTGGACGGGAATCCTCTCCTTCTGAAGGTAAAATGTCAGGTGCGATGCGAGAATCTCGTGTGACGTTGTCCTCCGGCTTGCAAAAATTCGACGGAAAGATGGTCTGGTCCTGGAGCCGTGGACGTCATCACGGTCTGAATCGCCGTGCGCACTTCAGTAGGTAGTATTCGTGGTAGTACCTCTCCAGTGGGAACAACGGGCATCGACACGGGTGTTGATGAGCGGAAGAGGTTGGAGTAAAACATAGGTGCGATAGTGTGAGAATTTTCTCATCTCCTCTTCACCCTGAGGCGCGACCAAGTGACTCCTTCACCAAAAGCCGAGAAAAAAATCGACAGTGAGGTCAGGCTAAACGAAGAAGATATTACGTGATTTGCTTATGCATAGGAAAGGAGGAGTCTGTTGAAAAAAGTGCTTGATGAGTAGTGATTTCCGGACATTCTCGAGTTTCTTAATATAAAGAAATTCATAACTTTTGTAGATGAACATCTTTGACGGCGAGATGGTTACCGTTAGGACCGCCTCGTCCTCTTTTTTTCAACTGATATAAAATTTGTCTTAGATCCATCCGAAGAACTGCCTGGGTGAAGGGTGTCTCTCAGTGATTTTGGAGATTTTCGAATTTTTAAAATTAAAAATTCATAACTTTTGCAGATGAACATCTTGTACACGGTGATGGCCACCATTATAGCCGTCTTGTCCTCCGCTTTCGGGAAATATAAACCTTGCCTAACCTCTAGAAAAAGTGCCGGGTGAAGGGTGGGTGAGACTTTTATAATGGGAGTGCTCAAGTACAGGCTTTTTTAACATTGTAAAAAGACGTCTATAGGGCATACCAACCACCATCGATCGTGGGTACCCAAGGGAAGAGGCAGCGCGCGCGAAGCGAGCAAAGGAGACTGCACTCGAGCGCGAAAGCTAGCCCTGTTCTTAGACTCATGACGTTGATTCATCCCATGTTTACCTTATCTACTCTTGTTAGGCATTAGATTCCGTACTTGTATCGATTACTAAACATTTCAGATGGTGGTGCTGTTCGAATGAAGAATATTTGAGCAGGGACGGTGAAGCGCATCTTTTGCTCATACATTGCGGAAAATTATCATCTATTCCGAGCAGGGCACGGCACGAGTCGGTTTCTAGAGTTTCTGGAAACGAAGTATTACTTCACATAAGTTTTTAAGTCTTTTTACATAATTCTTCCGCAAATAATTTTACACTATACATACAGTTCAATTTTGGTGTCATATGATTCTGTGTGCGCTGCAAACAAGCAATTAGTTTATTTTAGTCTTGTTTTCAAATCGCGCGCACTTTTCGCCGTACACGATAGAGCATGTCAATCGTGTGATGACTTGTCCGGAAAGCTTGTGTTCGACTAAATGGGCGCTAAATTTCGGGGCAATTTCTGCTTCAAAAACGAAGTCCAGCCTGCTTCCAGACAATCTATGCCGCGCCCTGATTCCGAGTTGAGGAGACTCAAGCACGCTTTGCACAAGTATGATGTGAAAATGTTATTTGTTCTTTACCCTTTTGGTTGGTTTACGACTAGATATTAGATGAGAAACAAGTACAACTTTAGTAGTTTGTTAAACAACGTGTGCAACGTTTTGAAGTCTCCTAATCTCGGAAATGGCATGTAGTCAAAGTGTCGAATTCAAGTATAGCCGCAGAAAGCATCATCGATTTACCTTTTCCATCATCAGTTTGAAAGAAAAGAAATCGGTGTTCTTATGCTTCTCATTTTGCGTGAAATATGGAAAACAAGATATTCCAACATGCAATTGAGTACGAAATGAAGTTCATCAGATACGCAAAAGAAGACTCTGTACAAATCAGCTAAAAAACAGAACGATATACAAGACTAGCCACAGATACAGCGACGCTTTCGCGCTCGGGTACTGCCCGCTTCGCGCTTTCGCAACCTCATCCCGTGGGTACCCACGACCGATGGTGGCTGGTATGCCGTATACTTGAGCACTCCCATTATAAAAGTCTCACCCACCCTTCACCCGGCACTTTTTGTAGAGGTTAGGCAAGGTTTATATTTTCCGAAAGCGGAGGACGAGACGGTTCCAATTGTGACCATCACGATTACAAAATGTTCATCTTCAAAAGTTATGAATTTTTTTATGTCAAAAACTCGAAAATCTCCACAAATTACTAGGACACCCTTCACCCAGGTACTTTTTTGAAAGGATTTCAAACATGCTATACGTTTTCTGAAAGCGAAGGACAAGACGGTTCCAATGGTGACCATCTTGGCGTACAAGATGTTCATCTTTAAAAGTTAGGATTTTTTATCTTATAAACTCGTGAATACTCAGAAATCTACCCACGCTCGTCACCAGGCACTTTTTCAACAGACTCCAGGCAAACTGTATACTCGCGGAAGAGAAGTTGGTTTTAAAAACATTCTTGCT